TACTAAATGGTAGTGGACAAAAGTTAAATGGTGGTTGATTAAATCACTAACTACAACATAAATCATAACTAAGGGTAAAACTGTCTTTTTCTATATATGCGCAGTGAATTTGTGGCATTTTTCGAAATGAGTTTCAAATTATGGCATTTTGGAAAAGTTTTGGAAGCAATTATGGCATTCTTCGTAATTTTTCCTAATTTAAATATACAAGTTATGGAAATGATATATAGGTAGAGAGTCACACATATATAAGGGGAAAAAAATTTTAAAAAAAATTATTCTAATGTCAAATGTAAAAAAGAAAATTATCCTCTAAAAATCAAATTGTGGCAAGTCTTATCACAAGGATAAGCACAGTCTATGAGCTTTGCTCCTCCTCTTTCGAAATACCAATCACCCACTGCTACCGCAATTCCCTGTTTATGTATGTACAATATATACAAACATCAATACTAAGATGGGATTTAACAAAACATAAAAAAAGTTACCACAAGTATAACCAAGAAAAAAATACGACTAAAATCGACCATTATCTTTGTATTTTATAACCAAAATATCTGTCTCTAAATATTTGTAGTTATTAAGTCTAAAATAATTTATGTAAATCAGTAACAATTAATAGTTTTGATTTAAGCAAAAATTCAAACAACAGTGATAGTTAAAAGACGAAAACCATTAATTTTCCTTACCTTGTTCTTAACCGCAGGAGAGTTTTTGGTGAACCATGTGTCATACCTCTCTGTTTGGCAATGAGCAAAACACGAGTTAAGAAACATTCCGTTCTTACTTGGCTGAGCAAAACCTTTTATCAGATTCACCATACGAGTCCTGAAACCTGTAACATAAATTTCAGAATAAAAACATTAGCCCCGTTGGTAATCTCAAAATCAAGAACATATAAGCTCATGTTTTCACCTTGCAAGAACTGGATCTGATATGCATTGCACTTGGCGTAGTTAAGTCTACAATCATTCCAACTTCCACTTGGATCTGCAGATTTGGGAGCTAAACTCTCTTGGATCTGTACAAAATACAATATATCAAATACACATTTCTCAACACTTATATGAAGAAAGCTTAGGATGAAGGAAATAACAAACTAACCTGCCACGAATCATACGCAGTATTTAGAATAAACAATGGAGTCTTGATTTGGTTGATTAGGTTTTGTGGGAAAAAACACTGCAAATATTGAAGCATACACGGATTTACATTTGTTTTCAGAGATCTAGTTCACTTGGTTTTTTATTACAGAGATAGCTAGAAGTATTAAGATGAGAACAAATACCGAAGTTGGATTAAGACGGTTTACACAGTCTCTAGGGAGCATTGTTTCCAGATTCTGTAGAAAAATTACACAATTCTCGATTAGTATTTTCGAGAAATAAAAGTGTTAACACATTGCAAATCCATGTGTTCTAACCTGTAATTTTACCACACCCGCGTATAGACGCCTAAGAGATCGACCACCCGAGACATCAATGCTTCAGATATAACAAAACCAGTCAGTCAATATATATACCAAAGCTATGACATATTTGTTATTGAAGTGAACTAGCAAAATCACTCACGCATCGAGGAAAAAGCCAGCATCACTCAGACATTTCACTCTTGTAGAAGGAGAAAACATATTCCGGAAATCATCACACCGTAAAATAGCGGCAAGACCTCCAGCAGAACATCCAGAGAGCAGAGCCTAATGTACATTGCTTATTACATTTGAACCGACTTAGAGTCAAATCAACACAACAAACAAAAAACAATTACCTGCTTGGCTTGACGCATTCCTTTCGCCATCAAATCTTCCATAGCAKCTAACCATATCCGCTTTCCTCTAAACTGAAGTTGTGCAGCCTAATTTGTAGCAGAATTTCCATATAACAATCAATCAATCTTTACACAAACAAATAGCAATTCATTTCTTTTGTTTTAGGATAAGCTAACCTTATTTTCGCTGTCCCCGCTAAAGGATCCACCGTCACAGTACCTCACTTTTACTCTATTCCAGTTATAAAAATCTGCAACCAAACATTTGTATTAGCAACCAAAACAGAGATAAAACATATCATATAGTTATTAGACAGGAGCATTAGCGAAAACCTGGATTTTCCGCGGCTTTATCACTTAGAATTCCAGTAAAAGGTATCTCTTTCTCCATGTATGTTGATGATCCACGACGACTTCGTTTACGATATACGCAATTTCTAATGGTATCACACCATCCACCTCCCTGTCAAAGCGTAAAAACGATCATGTACGACTAATACTTTTAATATCTAACTGAGCATAAGCTATCAGTATGATGCACAAACCTCCAACTGAACGAGCCAATTGTTTGCTCCAGAACCAGACCCGCGATGCAAATGATATCCGGGCAGACTTCCATCCAGGCACACTGCAAGAAAACGAAGATTAATATCGAATTCTGTTATGATCAAAACTGATGGAACAAGAAACATATGTCAGATCTTATGTAGAAGAAGATGTTACCAGCTCCTTTAGCAGCAGCGGACTGAATGAGAGTGAGTCCTACCATTGGAAACTTAGCTTCAGAATAAACGTCACTTTCAGTATGAAACACCTTTGTTCCATTGAATTCTGTGAACCACTCCGTTTCATCAAACTCCATAATCCCATTTACAGGGAGGACTAAGAGAATGAGCCCAAACAGAGTCAAACACCATAGAAGCTTCTTCATTTCAATGGTGTATCAGGCTTGATCAGAAACTTTGGTTTATA